CACAACTGGATACTGCCATAGGAAGGGATAAATAATATTATAACCAAATCAATAGATTTGTGTGAGACAGAATTTTTTTTGATCTCACACCGGTTAATCGGGTGTTGAAAATTTTCATCAGATAATCAGTGAATAATCGGTGGTACAGAACATAAATTTTTTGAATGTAAATTTTTTTTAATACACGTAAATACTATTTTATCCACTGTCACATTCTTTCTATTATAACAATCAAGTAATAACAATGACATCCAAAAGAAAATTAACATTGCCAGGCAATCGAAACCACAAAAAAGGAAGTTCCAAAAAAAACCAGTTGGATATGGAATTTAATGGAACCAATTGAAATTATTAATAGCAATGGAGCCATATCTAACAATGCATTATGTAAAGTGAATATATCTGAGACACAATTGATTGGGAGATGGATCCATTTATATGGTGGAAGAATCACAAAAATGAATACCCAACTGTATCATTATTAGTTAAAAAATATTTATGTATTGCTGCAACTTTTACTCCGAGTGTCTATTTAGTAAAACTGGAAATGCAATAATCAATTGTTATTTGAAAGGATTGTATTTCTTAAAAAAAAATATGCAATGTGTTGGAAATATTTTTCCTGGCGAATAAATAATAATTGTATTAAATTTACTGTTGTATTTTTTTAAATAAAATTTAAATCAATGAATATTCAGTGGATATTTGGTGGATATTCAGTGAATGAACAATTATCCGGGTGTTGAATTTATTGACTGACTGATTATCCGGGTGTTGAGTTTTATTGATTGACCAAGTACTCAAACACCCGGATAATCAACGGATACAACCACTATCTTTTATATCAATTATTGAATCTATGCTTGAAAATACTTCTGTCTGCCTACTTTGCTTGTCACCACAGGACCAATTTAAAACCTCTTCAATTTTAAAATAAACAAAAACCTACAAAGTGAACATAAAATTATATATATAGGGATAAGTGTATATGAAAAGTAATGTAAATAATAATCATAATGGTTCTAATTAATATCAAAAAGCTATTGATTTTTTAGAAAAAGGTTGCAATTGTGGTTGCTCTTCAAGAATTCCCAAGGAACAATTTGCAGAATTAAGAGAATCATTTCAAGCCCTTTCTAAAGTAGAACAAGACATATTTTTAATGGCCCAACTTAAGGCAATGGATGGTGGGTCAATAAGCAGTAGTAGACGCCTTAAGAAGAAAACCAGATCTAATAAAAGAACTTTCTATCATTGGGATCACAATACACCTCTTTGTCAAGAAACTTATCTCAATATGTTGGGAATTGGTAGGACTTATTTTGAAAATATCAGAAATCACCTGATTAATAATGGTCTTTTAGCAAGAGTTCATGGCAATATAAAGAAGATACCTCAATGAAAAACCAAAATGGTAATTGATAAGAATGTTGCAGAAGTAGTAAAGAATTTTCTTGAAAATTATGCAGAAGTCCATGGATTACCAAGCCCAGGCAGAAGTGTTAATAGAATAACTCAGTCAGTTATCTTTTTACCAGCTGAAATGAGTTATAAATCAGTGTATAGAGATTTTCTAGCTGGCCTGGAAGAAGATAACAAATTGAAATCCTTAAAATATGATGCATTTAGAAAACTATGACATCAATTAACACCAGAGATTCAAATTATGAGTCCAAGGACTGACTTGTGTGATACTTGTCAACATTTTCGAAATGGTTTACATTACAATGCTCGCCAAGAGGAAGAAGCTAA